AATTTATTTAAATATATGTTTTTATAATATTTGCTGTCCATATTCCTTGAATGTTCTTAGACCCTTAAATTTCTCTCATCCTGAACATTAAAAAGACTTTCAACAAGTCAGAAACAAAGTCATCTAGAATATATTTTACAATTTAATTGGTTGGGAGTAACTCTTATCGAATTTTCGGATGAAAGTTTGAAATAGTTTCCAATACAACAAAAATGTTGTCTCGGACACTCATTGAACACACATTTCGGCATAGATATACTCCGCAGACTTTTGGTTTTCGCTCTTAATATTTCCAAACTCGACAGAAACTTTTGAATTTGGGACGATTTTATATCAAAACAAAATCTTTTTATGTACAACCTGTTTCGAGACATTTCCAGTGAAAAACCCATCTCTTTAAAAATATCAAGATTGTATGTATAAAAAAATAAATACTTCTTCTATATAGCATAGGGTTGTTATATAAGCATAGCTATTTGTAAGAAGTTTTGAGACGAATATCCCTAAATACTAAGACAATTGATGAGATGGAATAAGTCATGACTATAACAATTAATAAACACAATGAATTCGAACATTCCTAATTTCAGAAGACAAGTGTCCCTGAAAATTTAAGGTAACAGATATTTCCGAAATTTATGAGATTTTTTACGATGGAAATAACCAAAATAATACATCTTTCTAATCATGGTGGCGAGGCAAAATAGTATTTAGATTTTTTTAATGATATATACGTTTTCAATTTATCATATTTTCAATTATTTGTAAATTGGTTTTATGTATTGTATATAAAAATGTTATAAAAACAAATTAAATTACACTTATAAAAAAACTCACTCACTAACTTAGATACATACTATATTGTATTGTTGTGTTTTCTCGTTTATTCATTCATGTATTAATTATTTTTCGCATATAAATGTACAAACTAATCCCTAAATTAAACAATTCAAAAACACATATTATTTCATATAAAATATTGAAAACTATTTTACAATTTAATTTTTCGTTTCTTTCCTTTATTTTATATATTTCCTTATATTTCTATATTTGAAAATTTTTCTATATCTCTTTTGTGTGTGGAATTGCATTATATTTTATTGGTTGTCCTTTTATCTATTTTAAGTTTGATTTTTTGTTAAGTTCATTAATGTGCCTATGTCTTTATCGTAAACATTTGCGTTGATAATTTATTTCAATTTGAAATTATATTTACAATAAATTATTTGTGTATCCCCCAACAACTATAGCTACGCATCTTTTAAATAATGAAACTCAATACAAAACTCGCATGTCATAGAATTGTATATTTTGTGGTAAGAACGTTATTAACTATTTGGTACGATATTTATAAAAGTATTAGGCATAGTTAAATGCACATTCATGTATTTAGTTCTTTTTATACAGATTTAATGTTAAGTATCTCTGTTGGAAATGTTGTGAAAATTATTTAAAAAGAAACAATTGTGTAGATATTATTACTAAAATATAATTAGTAGGACTTCTGTATTTAAAAAATAAAGGAAATATAAAGACATTTTGGTTTGTCTAATTTGAAAATTTCAGCAGAAAAAACTGGATTCTGTCTGGATTTCTGTCAAAAATTCCATTTTTTTCATCCAAAATGCGCCTATCGAAATCAAATTTCATTGAATTTTTTAATGTAAAATCCGGTATTTCTCCCATTCTTTGAAAAAGATATGGCTACTCTATTTTAACCCGAGCAAAAATTACATATGCGCCTAAAAGTATGCTTCATTTTTCAAATTGTTAATGCGCTGTTCACACTTACCCTGTTTTAAAGAATGGAAAGGTTAATCAAGACAGTCCGAAGAAAGGTATAAGACACCCGCCATTAATTAACACACGTCGGCGTTGTTTGAGCTGCTCATCAGACATATTTGGTATGACTGGCATGCATATACCCTTATGCGAATAGATAGACGAAAGGACATGTATACATTGTCTCAAGTGATTCTTAGTAGATTATCAATGGTATCTATAGACCTATATTGTTTTCATTTCCTTATTATACAGAGTGATGTATCGTACGAAAATATCATTCTATTATATTTGAAATTTTCCTTAAATAACAGAAGAGGTTCCATTAAACATTCACCCCACATGTACTTTATTTTGGAAAATTTTAAAAATTAGGAAGTTTTGTTTTTAAATTTAAGGCATCCGCATCTTCTTACCTACCTTAAATGATACTTACCACTTTGTTTGTAATTCCGTGTCGAAATACGATTTGTTCTTTCGATTGATAAATTATTAAATTACTAACTTATGCATGTACCTCATTCGAATGTCATCAATCCAAGGCAGACAAATTCTCACTCAAAGTTCTATCGAGAAACAAAAGACGACTCAAAATTAAAAAAATGGAATATTTTTGAGAGGAGTTTAACAAGTAAAAAACATTAGATTTGCTAGGATCGATTATCAGTGAAAAACATTGTGTGAAATATGGAGACAGATATGGAATATGTTTTGGAATTGGTTGTAGAACCCTGAAATACAGAATTTTAAAGAAATCCGATAGAAATTGTGGCTAAAATCGAATATCGGGAGGTTTTGTTTTATGGGCGCTATACGAAAACGTGGAATGGAATTTCATGCTGATCATGAATATATATAACTTATTGGGTCTACGACGAATATTTAAGCGTGATATAAGCCGAAAGACAAATTGAATATTCCCTCCTTTCCATGATGGAGGGTATAAAAAATACCGAAACTCGGGAGGTAAATTTAACCCACATTTTTTTTGGGAATCTAGCGATTCAGAAACCAAAATCTCAAGTTTCAGTTATTTTAGTCAGTGATTGAGGCCGAAACCAAAATACTGAGAATCGGAGTTACACCAAAAGTGACCAGCATAGAATATTAATTCTATTCGCAGACAACCTTAAACGCAGATTCGTTTGGAGATAAAGCAGAAACATCCAAAATATAGAAAATTGTTAGTTCGGTTTAAGGACGCCCAGCTACACGGAATCGGCAACTGCCTTATTCCGAGACCTTTGGTCCATCGTGTCCAATCTAGGATGAATAAAGTTGTTGGTGATAGGAGAGATATAGAAGCAATAAGGGGAAAAGGGTATTTATAGAGAGAAGTGTAGTTGACAGGGTGGTTTGCCCAGCCCGGCAATGTTTTTAGTAAACTTGTAGATAATGACTTGGAACTTCCGCCTACCAAATAGCCAATTTCTCCTGTTTGATAACCTGGACATCTGCATAGTAGGCGTACAATCGTCTCTATATTTCTATATCTTCATAAAGTCTACAGTAGCCACCGACAAAGTTATCCAATTTTGAGATCAGATATATGATACATTAGTGTCCTGTCATTACCTACCGCAATTTTTAGATAAGACATGATAATTGATTCCTTTCTATCAATTATCATGTCTGATCTAAGATCTTACATAAAGATGGTAAATTGAGTTCAAGGAACCTAAATAAGCTTCCAACTCTCTTCAAATTTCGCACATACAAACAGACAGAAGTAAAAATATATTTAAATTGGCTGAGGGTATACACCTGTCGGCAAAACCGACTGATAGATTTTAGCTTGTTCTTCTCCAGATTACCGATTTTTTCCACCCAATGAGAGATTTTTTCAAGCAGCTGACATAATAGCTATTAGTGGTTTGACAGTCTGATCAATCGAGTGGAAATAAGATTCAGCTGATCCATCAGCCCCCTATATTGATATGTCCTGGAACCAAACTAAGATTAATGAATTCACGCATTTGAAGGGATACTTTCTTGCAGTCAAGAATAATTCTCGATTAATTGACACTTGACTGGAAAGCCTAAGGGGCCGACTATCGACATATATAGTCATACATGTGATAAACTTTTTTAATAATTTCTGCTGCTTTCCTGATTTCAAGAATCTCCGCCCGAAAAAATCTGCAATTGTCATTGCTTTCATGAGCGTTTAATGATTGGATTTAAGCAGAATACGCCAGCACCGGAGGCTTTATCCATCTTAGAAATGGTCATGTGGCAATTTGTAAATGACCAGACCGTCAGAAAAGGTTGACATATAACCACTTTTTCCATTCTTTCGACCTAGGATATTTCGACTTATAGTTATGTCCAGGATTTGTGCATGACTAAACTGGCACGTCACAATATTTATTCCATATTTATTTAAGTCCGATACGAAATGGACAATATTGGCCCATTCCAACTCCATAGAGGGTCAACCATTTCAATAATCATAACAAAAGTAAAAATATATACAGACTGTCCAGAGGAGGTTCACCATCAGCCCAGGCGTTCCTTTCATGTATTGCCATGTCAATGTAATTGAAGTCAAAAAGGTTCACATGTAATCACTAATTCCATTACTTTCACCTAGGATATTTTGACTTATAGGTATTTCCAAGATTTGTGCATAACTAAACTGTAAGAGTATTATCCTCGAGATTCCCGTAGTCTAAGTTCCCCACCTTTATATGGTGTTAGTCTACGCTAACAGCTCAAAGACGATACATGGCCTCAAATATGGCATTTTTAAGGCTATCCGGGACATAGGGCGGTACTTTTACAATTTTTTTATGCAAAAGTTCATGAAAAGGTTATGGTTCTGTAAGCAGGCTCGTATAGATTGTTTTTATCAGTATAGGCGTATCTTACATTTTATTATGGAATTAAAACCGAGCTTTTATCTCAAAAATATGACCTTTCTTTCTTCTAAATGAAACATTTTACAGGCAAAGTCTTTATAAAATCTTGCAGACACAATTCTGCTGATCTTTTTGAAAAAGGCTAAATGTTTCCATTTTTTATAAAAAAAACTACATTTTGAATCCAAAAGATTTGTTTTTTTTTTACCAAAACAGGCTTTTAAAATCTTGGGTCAAATGCTCGATTCGTAAAATATTGTACAAATTTAAAACAATTCGATTTTTGTTTGGATTAAGCTAAATTTATAAGATTTTTTTTCTCTTTATTAATAATAATTTTGTTTCTGTTGTTTCTGGTTTTTTTCTTGTTGCTGTTCTTTTAATACAATGATAATAATAATAATATTAAATATAGAATTAAACATAAATTTTATCTTTTAACACATATAAAAAATATATATAATATAATTAAAAAATAAAATACATTTGTGTTGCTGTGTGTGTGTATGTGTTTTTGTGTTCAGTTCAGTTTTCTACAGTTATATGGAGAGATTTAGCGCTGATGTTTTGTGTTTGTGTTTTTTTATTTTTTCTAAAAAAGAAATGAGTTTCTTCGCGTTCTTCTTGTTGTTGCGGTTACCATGGAAGTGGAAATGTTGTGGATGATTGGTTAGATACTGCTGTACGGGCAAACGAGGGGTTGGGCCAAAGGTTTGTGTTTTGTTTTGCAATTTGGTATATGTTTTGTTTGGAAGTGGAATTCTCTTTTTTCATCGTTTTCGTTCCATTATTCATTATAATATTAATTATAATTTTAATGTATATTATTATTTATAATATGTTTGTTTTTTTCATTTTGTTTAATTTAATATATATTTTTTAATTACTATATATATAAATATCTATATATATGTACTCATCATTAAATCGTTTTCGTATATTTTGAGGGTTTCATGTGTTTTCTTTTTTGTATGAGTGTTTGTGTGTGTTCCAATAAATTGCTTTATAAAAACCATGTTTCAAAACGATCCTGCAGCAGGGTGTGTTTTTGGGGGAATTGAATAACTCGTCGTCGTGTGAAAAAATTAACACGGCAATTGCTGTTGCAGTTGTTGTTGTTGCGGCTGTTTTTTTATTTGCGTGGAGGCTTTGACGATTTGTGTGTGTTAATGAATGTCTTGGAAAGTAAAAAATATTTAGCCAGTACATGCTCTTATAATTGTAGATATCCTTCGTTTGTTTTTTCTTCCTTTCTCTTCTCTTCTTTTATAATTATTTAAAAATAAGTTATCAGATCCAAATTACGTTTTATTTTTTATTTATTTGACTAAAGATAATTCTTTTATCTTCGGTTAAACTCAGATTTGATAGCTAAAAGAGATTAGATGAGAAATAAAATGTTAGAGGGGTTTTAATCGAATGAAATTGAGAAGTGGGGCAACGTACCTTCTATTATTTCTTGTTTTACTTTTTGTATTTCCGTTTTCATTTCTCTAACAATTTCAGCCTTTAATTGTTCCAAATCACTATTGGATAATCCCGCTACAGATAATCCATCACCATTGACCTACGGGAGCGATAGAAAATTCATTTAAAAAAATAAATTGAAATTCGCGTGAATTTAAATAAGGAAAACAGAATAATTTAAATGAGTAAAATATGATTTAAGTTCGGTTGTGCTGAATTTTTTTCCAAATCAAAAAAATAAAAAATGGGTACAGATTTACATAATCGATGTTTCACTATGCCTGTAATAACTGACTATTTACTCTACGCCATTTTCTATTTATCAAATCAAAATATCAGAATTAAGCCATCTTACAGCCGAAGTGGACGAAGACTATAAAAACACCCGAAATCGGTTATTACCGTTTTGTGTCAAAATGTGAAATGGTCAAAATGCCTAATTACGCGTAAATTTATTGAGTATCAGATGGTACTAAACCAGGAGGTGCCGAATCAAAATAGTGGGCTTAAGCATTTTCTGTCAAAATATATCCCCTAAGAGTCTAAAAGGCCAAATAACAACTAATTTGGATGAAAAACATTTAAAAACTTCAAATTCGGAAAAAAAATTGAAAAATTTTAGCAGAAAGAGGCTCTACATACCGAGAACCATCAATGCCAATTTACAACTAACTACGTAGGAATTTGTGATTGAAGCAATCAAGGTATTGAAGATCAGAAGGCACCATTGTGGGTTTGCGATGGGACAGACATATCCCATTTACCAACACCATATTTTGGCCTCCATTTTGATTAAAATAGACATATGGAGAAGGGAGGCACAATTGTGGATTGGCGATGGGACCGATTTCAAATGGGATGTTTAAATATCAATCGGTTTAGACTTCGTACACATATTTTGGCCTCCATTTGGATTTATACAAATAGATGGACAGCGGATGTAGTCAAATCGGCATAGAATTACATGCTGTTTTAATCAAATCTTTGGGAATGGGCACTTTATGGGCTTGCCTGCATTTTGCAGCGTGACTGTTCTCAAATAGGATTTAACAATACAAACCAAACCTGTACCAAACATTAAATGGGTAAAGCTGCCAAAATAGATGTATAATTTGTCGAGATTAATATGGCTGGTAATTTCTGCACGAAGAGCTCTGTCCATGACAGGGGTCATTACTGACAGCTTTCAAAAAAAAAACTATGGCTAGGCCTCGGGGGAATGATGATATTGAATTCTGTAGACTATGTGTGGACAAGAAAGAGTAGGAGTCAAATGAGCATATCTTCTGTTTCCGACGTTGGCATAGAATCCTTCTCCCAACTGTCGGACATGGATTCCACAATTCTGGTTAACTTCTTAAAGAGTCTAAACGACTATGGCGTATATCTGATAGACATACATCTTTCTAAACGCAAGCTGTTACAGCTGCATAAATATTTTTTCTATCATTTTTTAAATTCTTTAACAACGCTGGGCAGGAAGGAGAACTTTTTTGCACTCCCACTTTTATTACCCTCTGCTTAAACTAATTGTCAATAATTCGGATTGTGTGTGTCTAGATTTTCAATTGCTGAGAGCCAGGCATTTGACAAGTAGGACATATCTTATATCAATACTAATATTTAAACGCTACACGCTGGTGAAAAAATGCGAAAAATAAAACGCGACTACGTCACTCAAAAACAATTGGGGCTATCCCATCTGTAGCCTGTGGCAATTGGCGTAACACAAACGCCTTTACATCCCATATTGCATAAAAATTTTGGTCTTGAGTCTTATAAAGATCAGTCTAAAAAAACAACAACAACAACAACAACGTCGTGCTTTTGATGATTATATCCTTGAAATGCACGAAAAAAATTGTCCATAATTTCATCGAAAAAATTATGTCGATTAATGAGGCCCACTTCGACATCCATACAAATTAAATTGACAGTATGAAATGTCGTCTTCAGAGTTCACTCCCATTCATTGCAATTGAAGAACGTCGGCTACCTAGACAAGCCAGGGTAGTTTTAAATGTCTTAATTTGTATTGAGCGTGAACTGTCTGCCCAGCGTGTTATGCAGGACCGCTCAAAAGCTTAAAAAAGTAACTCAAAGATGGAATTCATGGGGCTATCGAGGACACTTTGTGATTTGGTAAAGCAAAATGTCATGAAAAGCGTATTGCCTTGTAGGCGTTCATTGTAGAATTCATTCCATCATCTTAATTATGAAATGAACATCTTTACTTTTTGCGGACTCACCCAAATATTTGGAGTTGTAAAAAGAAAATATCTATTTTGAGAAGTAACATTTTCCGATTTCACAAGAGAAAAGCCTAAGGTACATCATTAAACAAAGACTGAAGGATGATACTCATTACAAATGCGATGAATACCAACACTTATTGAACCCTTCTGTCTACGAATTATAACGAACGACCATAAACGGGTATGGTGTGTTAATTTAAGATTAAGGGCAAACTTTGTGGAAGTATATTTGGAGGTAAGAGTGACACCAAAGAAAAAGTTTGCAACGTAAAGTCAATACACCCATCAGAGGTGTAGTTTGGTAAAATATTTCTACGCAAGCTTGTGTGGCAAGCCAATTACACACATAGTGTTACGGGGTATAGAAAATGTCATAAAGTACAGTACCGATCCAATATGCGTCGTCCCGATTAGCATCGTCTTTTAAAACTATGCAATATTTGCTTTGTTTTCAATATTTTCAATTTCTCAGTCGGAAATCATATGTAACTACATAAATGTTTAAATTTAATATTCACCTTAAGTATCGTTTCTTCGCTGGCACTACCGAAGCGTTTTCGCATGGGTCGTGGTGACTCACTACCACTGTTCGATGTATTGTGTGAGGAATTTGCATTTGAGTTATTGGAATTTGCCGATGATGAGGAGCCCAATTTGTGTGGTAGTGTATTGGATTTTTCCCAAGGTCGTTGTTTTACTTCTGGTTCCGAATCAGGCTAAAGGATATATAAAGAAATTTATAAAATACAGTAATGATTTTCCTGCATTCACCACACTTACATCTTTCTTTTCGGCCTGAGCACGTCGCCTTGCTAATGTTTTGGCCATTTCGTCCATCATGGAAGCCATACCGCCGCCGCTGCCGCCACGTCCAATGGTACCATAATTGCCGCTGCCTCCGCTGGGTGTGCTACTGCCGCTGTTCTCTGTGGGAGCTGGAGTGGACTGAGATAGAGAAAAACACACGCAATTTTATTAGGAAATGCTGATAAAATATAATTTGTCGACTTACCTTCTTTTTCAATTTGGCCTGTTGCAATTGGGCAGCCAGGGAACCCATTAGGTCTGCCTGGGGATCCTCTTTTTTGGCTGCTGGACCAGCACCTCCTCCGCCTATGGGTGGTGGCGGAGGCGGCGGGGGTGCTGCTGGACCGCCACTTGGTCCTCCGGGGCCACCACCTCCCATTGCTGGCGGTGCTGGGGGAGCTGGAGGTTGGGGTGGCGGTGGAACTGGTCCTGCACCGCCAGCATTACCATTGAACATGGGCGGAGCAGCACCGCCAAATGCTGGTGGTGGTGGAGGAGCTGGTGCCCCTGGTGCACCGGGAGCACCACCTGGGCCACCACCGGTACTACTACTCATACGATTGAGTGGCGGTGGCATAGGTACATTGCCAACGGGAGCACTACTATTGACTGGCATCATTGGTGGAGCCCCAGGCACCTGACCATAGGGATTCTCGGTTTGCTGTACCTGGCCACCACCATTCATTTGTCCATAAGCATTTGGTGGCGCTGGCGGGCCATTTGGCATTGCCGGTGGCTGGGGCGGTTGGGGTGGCATTGGTATACCGCCACCGCCCATCTGGGGCGGTTGACTGCCGTAAACATTGTTGGCACTCTGCGAATTTGAGATGCCGCCTGGTCCCATTTGTTGCTGCGAAGACACATAGTGAGGAACACCGCCATTCTGATGTGGCGGTGGCATGGGAGGCTGGGGTGCTTGAGGTATCATTCCACCAACGACTTGCTGCTGTTGCGGATATTGATGCATATTAAGATTGGGATTAGAATTCGACAAGACATAGTGGGATTGCTGATACTATGTTGTGGTGTGGTAGAGGTAGTCAATAGGTTGATTGATTCAAATTCAGATTCAGTTCAGATTGAGATTTGGGGGGACGGACAAGGATGATGTTGGTGTGTTTATGGGAGAAATTTTGTAGCGTTTAACAACATTCAACCAGATTTTTATTTTTTTGGTAAGATGATTAAGTCAATCATCAAATGGAATGTGATTGAGCCAATCATCATGGTTCGGTCGGTTCATACGTTTGTAGGTGGATTGGTTGATTGAGCAGGAGTATAATTGTATTGTTTATGATGATAGGATCAGATCAAGCAGTAGTTTTGTGGTTTTTTACATTTTTTTATTATTTTATTTAATTTTTTTTATTTTGTAAAGTTGTGAAGCGTTCAGGCATGAAATGGAATGAGATAAAAAAGATACAAACAAAGAAATCAAATGAAAGAAAATATAATACAACAACAAATCAAATTTGTTTTGGTTTTTTGTTTTCATTTTTGTGTGAAAGAAGTCTGTTTCGAACTTAACATGCAATATGTACAAGGGTTTAGAGATAACGGGGCCCAGATACCAAAAAACGAAAATAATAAGAAATTAAAAATGAAAATTTTTACAGAAAAATAAAAAATGAATTAAAATTCAAGTGAAAAGTTGATAATCAGAAAGATATTTTATAAAAATTTATACAGAGAGGTATTGGATTTTCTTTGAAGCCTATGTATGGGGCACTTTACATGAAGAATTCGAAGAAACAAAGTGCATGGAGTGTTCTAAAATATACAAATGATTGTATATCTCAAGATTTTTATCCAAGTCAGAGGCGTTACCGATATACAATAAAATCGACCATAAAAATTTATGAAATTACCTTAATTTATATTTTAAAATTTCACCGATTTTAATTATGCGAAAATCAATAATATGAATTCTACCTAACGTCATACTGCCAGGGATATTTCGGGTTTGCTTATGTACAACGTAAGCCCAGATGAAGAATGTTAGTGGAATTCCTCAATCCTCCCTTACAGTATGGTGAATTTATAGTGAATTTCTCTTAATTGTGCCAATAAAAAATGGGACAATTCTGCAAAAGGTAAACCTCGTCCAGCTGTATATACACACTGGTCGAAGATGAAACCCCGATAAGCAAGTCATACAGGCTCAATGGCTTTTTCAGAAGACATTTGCCTATTTATTGCGCGACCCTTAGAGGATTCCGCATACCACCGATTAACATTGATGATTGCAGATATGAAATTTTATTAAACAAGAATGGATTCCCGGCCATAGTAACATGATGAACTATGGAAGAGTCGACCGATCTACTAACGGATGATTATATCAAATTCCACATTGTGTACTAAATTAGCACTAAGTAAATATAGAAGGCAGGGACGATTTAGCAAAATTCACCTCGATTTGGTAAACTTCACCTGACTTATCCAGAGAAAAAGTAAACCGATATATAGGTTTAACGAAATAGAAGCCTTTTTCAGACCAAAATACTGGCCACCAGAAGGCAGCCGATTTAATGAAGGATCTTGGAATTAGCAACACATGACCTGTGACTGTTATTCTGTGATAGTCAAGCGAATCTGAAAGCTTCAAAAGAGCCTTTCTTGAGTTAAGATACCCGATTTTGTTAACAAAGTTAGATCTTAAGGAATGAACCAGCTAATGAAGTGCAGGATCAGCTTTTAGTTGATCAATCTACAATTCCATGATTTTGTCAAATAGTCGTGTAGCTACTTAATGAACAGCGTTAAAGGGCCTACTTCGAAAAATTGTAATCCGTTCTTAAAGTGTCCAAGGGAATTATCGAATTGATTCGGGAATAAGTGTAGACTTCAGCGATGCGATGTTGACTTTTTAAGGAAATGTGAGAATGAAGAAAATATATAAACGATAAAATCAGCTAATGATCTAGCCAGAAGTGACTTTTAGTCGACAAATCTACCAACTGATGATTCTATCAAATCTGCTAGTTGCAATCTGGATGTAAAGAATCCATGGAGCTTCTTGAAGTGATGTAAGAATCAGATAAATAAGATATATAAAAGATTGAATCAGCTGAAAGCTTAGTCAAGAGGCTTTAAGTCTCTCGATATACTAATCGACGATTCTGTCAATCTATCAATTTCCTGCTTCATTATTAGCATTTAATGCGCCTGTTTTATGGTGGCTGGTAAAAATAATACAGGGTCAGGTATATTATATTAGTATATTATATTATTGTAGGGTCAGGTTTATTATTTCCAAATGGAATGATAGTGATCTGGACTTCTGCAGACTATGTGAAGATGAAGAAGATGATCTAGCCAGGTGTGGCTTTTAATCGATCGATCTACCAGCCTATAAATATTTCAAATTATTCTTCCAAAAGGCTAATAAGAATAGATAATTGTAAATCGGTTGTAAATTATCCCGGGGAAAATATCAAAGTGATTTGAGCGACCCTGTAGACTTAATAATTGGGGTGGACTTTATGGGATAATTGACTTTTAATTCTGAACTTCTTCCGTTGAGCCAGCTGATGACCTAGCCAAGAGTGGCTTTTGGCCTATCAATCTACCAAACGAGGAGTCTATGAAAATATTTACTTACTGCTTCATCGGCAGCTTCAAAGGATCTATTTCGACAAGCGTGACCTTAACGATTAAACATCTACTCGCCAGTTATGATTTTTGTTTCGAGGGTGTTTTTGCAAAATTTACGAATACTACCTAGTTATAGCAAATTAAACTAGCTATTACTTAAAAATTAATGATGCATTCTTCAACAACGCATTGAAATGATTAAAATCTACCACATCATACAGTCACAGTTCTCAAAACTAAAACATTTGGGCTCGTTGTGAAGCTGCCTGTCAGATCCCAATGCCGATCAACTTAGCGATCTGAAGAGTGAAATCCGTTCAAGTCGCTAAAGTATTGCTGCTGTAGTACAAAGTGTTAAAGAAATCCTAGACTTGTCTATTCCTCATTGTTCGGAATTCGGATTCTACAATTTGAAATTCGGACTCCGGATTACAGCGCATTTTGCATAGATTAGACTTAATAACGTTCGGTTAACATAAGAACTCAAATCTGTCGATTATCAACAATACCGTTTCTTTAATTATTGGGTGCCAGAATTGCATACAAATGATCCTAAAAGCCATCGAAGAATCATATTTACAGATGAGGCCTAGTTCCACCACGGTTGCTACGTCAATAAGCCCAACAAGCCTTATTGGTATTAAAAAGAAATCTGCTTATGGGTTGAATAATGATCCGACGGAGTCATTTGACCTTTTTGAAATGAATTGCACTATCAAGAGATAAATAATGTTCCTTGTAGTCGGAGTTGGACCGTCGCCAATAAGACGGCGCTACATGTCACACATGTCTTTTACGAGAAAAGTTATATCTCAAATAGGTGATTGCAATTAAGCACCGAGATTTGATTTAATAACTTGCGGCTTCTTCCTTTTTGGAGCCACGTAGTTTAAAATTGAGGGAGTGCCTAAAAGTATGCTTTAAAATACTTAAGATAAATGCGAAAAAGCCACATTTCATATGGCTCTAATAAAATGTTTTAATTAGATTTTAGTTCTCAAGGATTCATTTGAAACCTCTTCATTTACATAACAACCAGGTGACATAATATGACGAAAAGGTTGGATTCCATAGGGAGGTGTGTATCATTCGATATAGCACCTGGGATACAGAATCACTGTTGGTGGAGATATTATACACTATTAAAAAGTTATTTAGAAGTCAGACTCTAAAAGGCAATATTTGAATTGAGTTTCAAGATACGAGAGGAAAGCAAAGAAAAATACATATTTTCTTCTCCACTACCGTTCAAACCCCATGTTTCGTGTCTGACCAACTAAAATATGGCTTAAAGACACCATTTGGCATGCCCTCCACCAAAATAAAAGGGGGAAAACAAAATACCCATACCAGATAATAACAAAGAAAAATAATAAATTTAGGCCAAATAGCAAACAAAGAGGAAGGAGGAAATTAAAAAGAACAAAGAACGGTTTGAACAAATGTTCAAATATTCAAATTATAGCAAAAAATAATAGAAAATCATGTAAAAAACGAAACTCAGGAATAAAAGAAACACTAACAACTGTGTGAGGGCAAATCTGTTCTTGTTGTTGTTCGTGTGTGTTGTACTAACCTGATTTGGTTGCTGCTGATAACCGCCAGCATTGACCATTTGTTGGGTGGCATAGAGCGCATGTTGTTGCTGCTGTTGCTGGAGTTGTTGTTGCGTTTGTTGCATCTGTGACGGAGTGTGGTATGATTGCTGTGGCGGCTGACCCGGTCCTGGTGGTATCTGTTGTTGTTGTGGCTGCATTGGCGGCTGTTGTTGCTGCTGTGGATGCTGTTGCATGCCATTTTGTGTTGGTCCAGTTGTGTGCCCATAGATTGAATGCTGTTGTTGTTGCTGCTGCTGGTGTTGTTGCATTTGTGGTGGCTGTGGTGCCGCTGGAGCACTAAGGGAATTCCTTTAGTGTTGAAGTCAAAATGTTTTTTGCATAGAAAAATTTTGGATGCGTGTGTGTGTGTGCATGTGGGGATTTTGTGATTTCATTTTTCGAAAAGTGAGAATTTAGACACCAATAATGTTTTTGGAATTGAGTTTAAATTTGGAATAAACACAAAAGAGGCAGGCAAATAGGGAGTGTGGTGATGGAAGAAATTGTGGGAAGGAGGTGTATTAAAATTATATTTTTTTGTATTGCAGGACAGACATAGTGCAGGCAATGTAATTTTTAACATCCAATTAGAAAAAAAAAATTAAAAGAGGTGTAGAATTGGTGAAAAGATTTTCGTGGTGATGAATTTGATTACAGATGTAATGTGTGAGTGTGTGTGTGTGTTTCAATCAATACAAACAAGCAATTGCATTTAATGTTCCACCAAGGATGTTGACAAATCGCAATGACGTTAGACAGACATGATGGCATTAAGAGATAGAAAGACATCCAAAAGTGGTGATGGTTAGGTGATGATTGTCCAAAACGAGAGATACGAGATACGTTGGTGATGATATTGGTGATGTTGTTGTTTTTTTCGTTGTAGTTGTTGTTGTTCATGATGAATACGTAACGAAAGAAAGAAACCAAAGTACAACAATGGACACAATACACAAATGTACCAAAAACGTAACAAGTTCATCGAAACGAAAAATGAAACCGAAAACGAAAAAAAAGAAGAAGACAAGAAATACAATTCTAGATAAGTAAAAATCGACTCAAGCAATTATTCAATATCGTTTCTATTATATAATTAGTAAATAAAACCAAGTCCTCCCCAGGGTTTGGGGGGCCAAGACGACAACATTTGTTCTAACATTGACAATGTCTAGTAGAAATGGTGGTGTATGAGAGAGATAGTGGGTGAGATGACTTATGTCTGTCAAAGGAACTTGGACTACTAACCTGCTGGTGCGATGATGTCCCTGCTGTGGCGTCGGTGGGCTTTGGGGTATATTATTTTGATTCGTTTGTGAAGTGGGTGTCTGTGCCGATGGTGTTACTTGGCCTGTTATCTGTTGCTGCTGCCGCAAGATGGCAGCATCTTCACTGGTCATTGTGCGATAGCCCATATCTTCTTCATAACCATTGCCATTTGTTGGCTGGCCGGGATTGTTGGCAACACGTCCACTGAGAACCTGTTAAATACAAAAGTAAAGTCAATAAAGATATTTTGAAGACATAAATCGACAGAATAAAACAAAAGTGTATAGGATGTTTAAAGTGCGTTTAATCTAGATTTAAGTAGCCTATTTTTAATTAGAGTTTATTATTCAAAAATCTATCTTGATCCTTGATTTTGAAAAATACAGGGTTTTAATAAAAATATTGGAGGGTTGACAAATTAGGGATTTGTTAAAAAATATACCTTCCGACCTATACAATTTTAAAGGACCTTCGAAAGGGTTTCCTGACCTAAAATCAAACGATTAAAAAAAGTAGGGAACCTTCTGACCAAGAATTGTACATTTTTAGGAAAAATTTTAAGAAAACTTTCAAATAAAAACCGTGGATTTTCAGGGTCTCCCGACCAGCTATCATGGATTTTTTTTAAGAAAAATGTTAGAGAGCCTGATCAAAAATGCTTGATTTTGAAGAATATTTTTTAAAAGAACTTCTTACCGAAAATCATTTATTTTTTCAATAAGAATGTTGGAGTTCCAAAAATTAAGGATTTTTAAGAAAAATTGTAGACCTTCTGACCCAGTATTGCAAATTTTTTTTAGAAAACTTTACGAATAAAACCATGGATTTTTAGAAATATTTAGAAGGGTCTCCGATCAACAATCATGGATTAAAAAAAATTACAAATTTTTTAAGTGAAACTTCGGAAAAGGTTCATTCTTAAGCTCAGACAGTTCTAAGTAAAAGTTGAGAGGACCTTCTGACCAAGAATTGTAAGAAAAATGTTTCGAAAACTTTCGAAGAAAAATCATGGATTTTTAGAAATATTTTGAAGGGTCTCCCGACCAACAATCATGGATTTTTTTAATAAAAATGCTAGAGGACCTGATAAAAAGTGCTTGATTTTGAAGAATACATTTTGAAAGGACTTCTTACAAAAAAATCAGCCGTTATTCAATAAAAAATATTGTAAGGCTTAAAAATTGGGGATTTTGAAAGAAAAAAATTAAAGGATCTTCGGACAAATTTTTTTAAAAGAAACGTAAAAGGACTTTCGGTTTCAAACATTTTTAAACCAAACGTTTTAAAATCAAACGTTTTTAAAAACAAGTAAGCAATGGCTACAGTCGAGCGGGGCCGACCGTTGAATACCCTACAACACTATAATAAACGATACCGTTTATATAGGTGAGATACTAGAAAGAATTCCACAAGATATTGTGACAAATTATAAAAGAAAACCATCAGGTTTCGTTCTCTAATTTTCGAATAATAGCAACTTAAACTAATTTGCTCATTTCCAATTTATTGGTAGATGTTGCACTTAAATGGTCTTCCTAGATCTGGAACCAATATTTCCCAAAAACCTATAATTTCTTAGAAGTGGCAAAAGATTAACATTTATTATTGGTTTTTGACTGAAACGCATCTATATGAGATACAGACATTTGACTATATTCGTTAACGAAATTGTCAGAAGTGTGTCTTTCCTGTATTTGTGAATTCTCGAAAAAGTCTCTGGAATGGACATTTTCGTATTTTGTCTACAAAAGTTGGCAAACTATTTCACACATTGAATATTTTTGGATGACCATCCAAAACTGCTTAGTTTTTGCAATGTCCCCCTTTCGTGTGCGTGATGATCGGGCGATAATTACGACCTGCCGACAATTTTGCAGTTTTTTGGTCCATTTCAACCCCTAAATATATGGCGATCATCTCCAAAAAGAGTAGGCTTTCATTTTGGCCCTCATCTTATCCCCATGCAAAATTTCGTAAGGATCGGGCCATAAATGCGATCTGTATATGATTTTCTGATGTCATAACTACTTAGTTTTGTTAGCTGTAGAAATATTACCAAATGTTTAATTCAAAATGAAAATATGCCAAAAATATGACAAAATTGAAAAAATATGAGAAAATTTTACAAAATCAATATTTTCATCTTTAGAGAGATATTTTTATGCGATTTTTTTAGACGTTTTTTCTTTCCTGCCAAGAGGCCATTCTGAATTAACGAGAACTGTCGAAATCAGTTCAGCCGTTCTCGACATATAAGGGATCTTTCAAGCATATCTTCTTTGATAGACATATATATCGAACATATTTTGCTATATATCCGATTTGTTGGATGTTAACATCAATGTAAAGGTCAGAAGTAACCTTGTCATGGCTTTGTGATTTCGCCGGGATTTAAAATATTCGCGGTTTAATGAAAAATGTTGAATTTTTTCAACACAAAATATATGGCCTATTTTACCCGCTAAATATTATCCGATGACCACCCAAATTGGTAGGCTTCTTCCCCGTCCTAAACTCTAGCTACATGCGAAATTCCGCGTCGATTGGTCTATAATTGCGACCTGTATAGCTACTGCAAAATCCGAAATTTTTTCAGTATTTGGTCCATTTCAACCCCTAAACATTTGGCGATCATCTCAAAAAGAAATAGGGTTCTATTCTGGCCCAACCCCGACCTCCATTCCAAATTTCGTGAAGATCGGGCCATAATTGCGACCTGTAGAGTGATTACAAATTAACATGGACAGACGGACAGACGGACGGACGGACATACATAACTAGATCGACTCAGCTCAGCGAGCTAGGAAGATCCATATATACTTTCCTATGTGGGAAATCAATATTTCGTGGTGTTACATAATTTTTGGCCCAATCAAACTTATAATACCCCCAACACATAGTGTTGTAGGGTATAAAAAGTTAAGAGAACCTTCAGACCAAGAATTGTAAATACTGTGAAAAATTTTAAGGAAACTTACGAATAGAAGCCGTGGGTTTTTAGAAATATTTTGAGGGTTCTCCCGATCAACAATCGTGGATTTTTTAAGAAAAGTTTTAGAGGACAGACCAAAAAGGCTCGATTTTTTTTTTCAATAAAAAAATTGGGGATTTTTTAAGAAAAATTTTAGAGGACCTTCGTTTTTAAGAGAATTTTAAAACGACCTTCGGAAGGGTTTCCTGATTCAAAATCAAACATTTCTAAGACAAACTTTAGATGACCTTCATCCAAAAATTGTAAATTTTGTAAGAAAAATGTTATGGAAACTTACGGGAAATCCTGGAAATTTAGGAAGATTTTGAAGTGTTTTCCGACCAGCAACTATGGATTTGGTCTCCCGACCAACATTTTTTTGTTGAAAAGGTCCTCTAACATACATACCTTTTCAACAAAAAACGTGGATTTTGAAGAGCAATTTGAAAGAGTATTCGTATCAAAAATCAAAATTTGTTAAGACTAAACTTAGAGGACTTGCTGAGCAAAGGATTTTCTGATCACAATCCTTTTTTATTTTATTTTCCGGAAAAAATCAGGGATTTAAGAAACGTGGATTTTCAAGAATATTTTGAAGAGGGTCCTGAAAAAATGTGTAAATTTTTTAGAAAAATTCTTAGAGAGCCTTTTGACCAAAAATCGATTTTTTCTAAGAAAAATCAGAAAGGACCTTCTAATTAAAAACACAAAATCTTTTGAAAAAATGTTGGATATTTGCTGGCGTTGATGGTCATTTGGACCGCAATTCAAGGATTTCCTTCCTTCAAAAATGTTAGAGAAGTAAAAATCGTGGATTTTAAAGTATTTGACCTTCTGACATCCTTTATTTTTTTTAATGTTAAAGGGACTATAATCCTTGGTTTTTTAAGAATATTTTTTATTTTCCTAAATCAGGGATTTAAGAAAAAAAATTGGAGCACCCACTGACAAAAAAATGGATTTTAATAAATTTTTTGAATAGGCTTCTAAAAAAATTGTGATTTTATTAGAAAAATTGTTAGGGAGCCTTCTGACCAAAAATCAATTTTTTCGTGGACTTCTAAAAAAATCTTAAAATACCTTCTAATTGAAAACCTCGAATTTAAAAAACAAAATGGCAAAGAACCTGAACCTGACATCCCTTATTTTTTATGTTAATAGAGGCGTCGTCAAAAAATTACATTTCTGGTCGAACATTGTTGTTCTTTTAAGGATTTTTATTAAAAAAATTAAATTTTAGAACATTTTCTGACAAAAAATGTTCAATCTTTCCGGTTTTTTTTTTGGTTACAGTATACCAGACCTTCGAAAACTCGCTCGAACTCCCCAAAAAATCCCACTCATCGAGGAATCTTGCTCGCGAGCAAGTTTCACTCTCTCGTGAAAATGAGCAAATCTGTACTCTGCTGTATACCCAACAATTACATTTTCGAGGACTTCCCGTCAAAAATGGATTTTAAAGAATATTCTCAGTTTACTTCACAGAAAAAATTAATAAAGTCTAGAGATTATGTCCGGTGAAATGATGGTTCAGCTATGCCTAGCAAACATTTTTGAAGCACCTTATTTATTTTTTTTATTTATTATTTTATATATATATTTATTTTTTTATATATATTTATTTTTTTATATATATTTCCCAACTCACCTCCAACGCATGCATCATTGCCCTGGCAAAGGCTTCAGCATCATTTTGACTCGAAAAATTGAGACCATAGACATATTTGGAATCGCGCCATTGATGAAATGTGGCAGTGGCTTGATTGTATTTCAGTCCTTTTAAAATGGAACAATTGATGACAACCTCGTGGTCCTGCAGTTTACGGCCGACAACACGAAATGTGTTGTTCTGTTGGTGGTGGTAGATTTGTACCTTGCTGAGGCCCGACGAAGTGCCCGATGGCACCCATTTCTTTTGGTTATCATCGTAGACCATGACGGAGGCACGTGCCCCAATAATACTTTGTTCACTGGAAGAAATAAGACAAAAAATTTAATTTAGTAAAATATTACATTAAATTATTTAATTAAAAAAAGGAATTATTTGAGGGGGAGGGAGGTGCAAATAGTTCATTGCTCATTTATTTTCCAAGCCATTTTTATTTTCTTTTAATAAAGTAATTATCCGATAAAAATTTCATTTAATTAATAAACAATTAAGGAAAATCGTTTCATTTTAATTTTGTGTGGAAATTTCGTGTGGCATCTTCATCATCGCCATCTACAACAACATCGTGCAAGTCTTGGTCGAATGGAGGGCTGTTGACGTTTGAAATCAGCATAAAAACAAACAACAACCTCGCGCCACCAACAATCAACATTAAATTATTATTTTTATTTCGTTTTTTGTTTCTTCTCGATCTGATAAAAATTGCCCACAATTACAAAGTTTCATTTGCTTGTACGAACATACTTTGTTAGCGATTTTTTCTGGCTTCTTCTGTTGTTTTTTTAATTACAAAACATTAAGAAAATTAATTTTCTCACTTTGTTGTCGGCATATTAAAGTGGCCGTTAAGGCTGTTTTTGATGGATGATAACAACTATTATTAGCTGGCGTTCATCGTTTGAAAATGGAAAAAATTGTCTAATTTAAAGCAAAAGAAAATCTGAAGCAAATATATAATTATAATTACATCAACAAGAAGGTAAGCACATGTCATTACCCGTTACATTACCATATCGTAACAACTGATTACATTAAGCATTATGGTAATCGATGGTCTAGACAATGTCTGAAAATTCCAAAAATTGGAACGAGCTTAGAAATGGAATGTGCTGAATAATTCATTACCAGGTAATGAAAACCATCTACTTTTTATGCCTCAACCTAAATCTTTTAGGCCAAAATAAAAAATGTCTTCAAATTTATGAAGAAAAACTGAATATAAATTACTTCTTACTAAGTAATGATTAAAAGTTATATATCCAACCTATATCTCATTACCAAATAATGGATTTATTTAGTACAATTTTGTCACCAATAACTACTTACAAGCAGCTGACTGAGCACATTACCAGTAATGACCTTTACTTATCCTCAGCGTTAAACGAATAGGTTAAAAAATAATGAATTATTCTTAAAAAAATATTATATCGCCTACTTTTTTCCTTGTAAAGCTATTAGTAATGACGGTACAGATTGTGATCGTACGTCAACAAAAACTAAGGTGGTATGAACTCCTGTACCAGCAAACAAACAAAATATATAAAAGAGTTTCTCGAAGCACTTATACATTATAGGAATTGCAAGTGTGGTGAAATTGAATACAAACTCATCTCCAGGTTTGTTTGTTTTTTTTTTGAAATCTTCTGAGCTCTGCTTTTGAAGGGCCTTAGGACTCTCAAAGGGGCTCTTAAAGAAAACTCTCTGACGAAAATATTTGGAATGGTCCTCTGCCTAAAAAACGGGGAAAATGTAAGACGACGTTTTGGCTAAAAATTGATTTTTTTAAAAGATGAAGGGCCTTATCTCCAAAAATCATAAGCTTTTAAACACAAATCTTAGATTATTTTCGGACCGTGTTTTATATTTTTAGGAAAAATATTAAAACCCCTTCTGAAGGGGTTTCTTACCAAAATAAAACATAGGTTTTGTTAAAGTAAAGTGTCAAAGATCTTTTCGACCAAAAATCATAGACATCTAGGAATATTTTGAAGGAATTCTTGACGAAAATTCTGAATAAAACTTTTTTGATTATTTTAAGGATGCTGGTTTGAACCTCTGCGCCAACAAACATAAAAGTATAAAAGAGATTCTCGACGCACTTATACATTATAAGAACTGCAAGTGTGGTGAAATTGAATACAAACTCATCTCCAGGTTTGTTCTTTGAAATTTTTATTGGCGTTTTGTGGAACTTGGTAAACCCTTACTTCATCTGGCATGTCCATGTTTATATAAGGGGAAAATATGCTATTTGGTAAGTAGTAGTGGTAAAGATATTTTTGCAGGGTCAAATGGAAAATATAACTCAAACATAAAAAATATATTTGAAATCGGGCCTAACACCTATGGTCATATACAGGCACTATACCGAAAAGGGATCGACATGACCCATTCCTTATTCATATCTAAAGTTCCCTATAAATTTCTAAAGCTCTAAATTAAATTCTAAGAATATATCGAAAAATATTGATGTTTCTTTGCATATGGTCAATCGATATACAGGGTGATATTAGAAAACTGCAACAAAGTCAAACGCCATAATTTCTACATTTTTTTAATTTTACTGAATGAAAGCAAAAAAAATTGGAAATAGCATCAAATTTTAGAATAAGTTTAGATTTGTTCGAATTGGTCACCTTTGGCGCGAATTATGGCCTTCAAACGGCAAATGAAACCGTCACACGCTGCCCGAATGTTGCTCGTATTTTGGCCAATTCCAGGCGAGAGATTTTGGTGGCTATTGTGCGCTGGAAGTTTGTAACCATTCTTGGGTGGAGCGTGCCGAGTGCGATGGTGCTGAGTCCTGTTGGAATGTCCAAGGTCTGCGGCAAAAATGTTTGGGTGTCCAGGCTTTAATACACCCTCCAGAATATTTTCGCGATAATATTCGACATTTATTCTGATGCCGCGGTCGATTAATGCGAGCGGAGAGCCACACCATCACCATGGCCGGCGCTTGAGTTCTGGTGGCCAACCGAAGGTGCACATTTTCAGCTGATCTCTTTGGCAAGTAAACATGATCATTTTGCTTGTTTACAAACTGCTGGACAACGAATGTTTTCTCATCGGCAGTTCAGCACTTTCGGCCAAGCGAAGCAACTCTTTAGCTCTTTTGAGTCTATTTCCTTTCTGTTGCGGTGTAAGTTCTTGGACTTTTTTTGAAATTTCAATAGCTTTACCCCGAGCTCATTTTTTAATATTTGCCGAATGGAATACTTATGTCAGACCCAGCAAAGTATATATATTCTTCATCAGCTTAAAATTCTAAGTCGATTTAGCGACGTTCGTCTATCTGTCTGTCTGATAGAAGGCTAAAATTTTGCACACATGTGTATTTTGCCAGTAGGCAGATTAAGTTCGTAAATGGGCCATGTGGGTCCATGTTTTCGTATATCCATATAACGTTGCCTCCCAATATTCGATATTTTTATGATTTTAGAGTCATTATAGATCGGAATTATTCAAATTTTGTATTTGAAGTTCGGAATCGATATTACAGCCTATGCAAGGAAATTGCTAATGCAATCCATATCTTCGTATGACCCCATATAACGAGACCACCTAATTTTCGAAATACGCGACATTGTTTGCCGGAATTGTTTCAAATTTCATTTTTGAAGTTCGCAATCGATACTACAGCTTATGGCGGAAAATTATAAATGCAGGTCCACGTCTTTGTATAATCCCCGATATTCGCTATTTTCATGATTTTAGATACATTATAGACCGGATTTGTTTCAAATTTCGTATTTAAAGTTCCTAACGGGTCCTTCAGCCTATGACCAAAAATGTATAATACAGCTCCACGTTTTTGTATAGCCCTCATAAAACGATGTCTTCCTATTTTCGATATTTTTTGATATTAACGACATTATTCACCGGAATTGTTTCAAATTTCGTATTCGAATAATAATGGGAATAATGGGTCCTACAGCTCCACGTCTTCGTACAGCCCCCATATAATGATATCTCCCTATTTTCGATATTTTGATGATATTAACGACATTATTCACCAGAATTGTTTCAAATTTCGTATTCAAAGTTCCTAATGGGTACTACAGCCTATGACAAAAAATTAATTGTGTGGGTCCACGTCTTCGTGTAACTCCCATATAACGGTTTTCATTTAAGCGGTATTTCTCGACGGATTTTTTTTTAGAAAAATTTTAAGTTCCAGCAATTTTGAGATTTTTTTTCTTAGTTTCTTAGATCTTGCCTTGGTCCAAAAAATATAATGCCGTATACCAAAGACCTAACATGTTCCAATCACAAACTGTTGGTGATTTTACTACAAATTAAAAATTCAAATTATCCAAATGAAAAAAAGTAAGCTCTGTAAAAGAATTCCATGACAATTAGGTCATAGTACTAAAAACGACCCAATGTATCATGAAAAACGAAACACCATCAAGATAAATCAATCAAAACTATGGCCAGATTTTTTCTTCTTTTAAATCAGACAAATAAAAACAAGAACAACATCAGCTAAGCAATTCCAATGAAAATAAATCTCAGCAACAGGAAGTTCTTGCAACAACAACAAAGCATTGAAAAAAAAAACAACACTGAAACATTAGAAATGCAACAATTCTCAGTCAACAAGATTCCCAGTTATAGCCAAAGAAAGAGTAGCGGACGAACGAGTGAACGAACGAACACCTGACACTGCTTTCTGGCCAAATGCTACAAAAAATGATTCATAGACATTTCCTAACAATTCCAATGAATAATAACGACAAACAACCAGAGGCGGGCATTCCGGGAGTTGATCTATTGAAAAAATCTCAATTTCTAATTGAAAAACAATTATAACAGCAGCAACAAAAATGAATAGTGTTGTTGTTGTTTTTACAATAGAATAAATTCTGAAAAAGCGAGGTATTCAAATCATTCCAATGACAAGCCAACAGCTCCATGTAATGGCCCATGAGGAACATAAAATGTTACGACTGACCGACCCATCAAGAAGGCGGATCAGTCTTCTCAGTGTCTAAAGGGAGATGAACTCCAGCGAGATAAAGGTGAGAATTACAGCAGCAGAACCCAACAGAGCACGTACAGATTAAGAGATAGAAATGTTGGTACCGTAATTCATAGCTTGGTTATGGCTAAGAATGCTGGCGAGGAGTACCAATTTCACTTTATTTTACTGCCACTTCTTTGTGGAACATTTAGATTTTTACTCGCCGATGACAAAAGATGACAAAAAAAAAAAACGGCAAATATGCCAGCCAAGTGGCATCGTTTGGCTGGCTGTTTGCCTTTGCCAAATGGTACATTTCTCTGCACTCTCTCTCTCTC